AAATATAGTATTTATTAATTTATGATTAATTTAATATACTTGTGGTCTGTAAAGGCCATAGTATCTAAAAGTACTACATGTTTGATGCAACCATAATTTTATGAGATTTGATGGACTTTGACGTTTTATGTAATTCTATTCAGCAGCCCTAAAAGCACAAACCGACAATTGACCTATTTCATATCATAAACTATAATCTAATTATATATTTTTACAAATTGGTTGCCACAGGGACATGCCATAATAAGAAGATGATCACAAAAAATATATAATATTCTTCTTTTTATTAAAAAAAAAAACTTTTTCTTTGATTTGTTCCTCTTCTTTCACTGTTGTTTGTATTTTACATAAATAGATTTCCTTTTAATAAATAAAAATTTGAAAACCCTTCGATTTTGATTTGCTGATTTTTTTTTTTTTCATTGTTCTTGATGAGATTGAATTACACACTCGTTTCTAAAGATAAAGAACATTACACCGAAAAAAAAATCACCATATCTCAAGAATCTCACACGAGAATAAGATCTTATCTAAAGAGATTTAAAATGCAAGAAAGATCGAAACACTCGTTTCTAAGGATAATCATAAGAATCTCTCACTCTTAGGGGAATTTAAATACCATTATAATTGTGGATGCCAAAACATCTTTGGTAATTAGCTTTGAAAAGTAATTAATGATGAATAGTACCTCTGCATGTGGAGTTGTTTATGATGACAAAATTATGCATTTTAATACTTTCGATTCACTTAATTTTTTGAAAAAAATGTTTTTTTTTTGTTGATTAATAATATATTGTACATAAAATTAATTAATATAAATATTGGCATAATTATCAAAAATGGAAATGCAAATCAATGATTGTACTTGGTGTTCACTTCCCCTGTCTGGAACCAGACATTTGTCAAACTCAGAACTCTATTTTCAGTATGCAACCCAAATTTCATTATCATATTAACAAAAATAATATTTAAATAAAATTTTAACATAATTGGGAATCTAGTATTATATCAAACGTATGAGTTAAAAAATTGATTTTGGTGGAAAATAGAATTTTATATAGATTGTTAAACCAAAATAGTTAACTATCTTGTGTTTATTTTATATATTTTTTTTAACTTTAGGAATTTAAAATATGATTTAATGACATATATTTATGATTTTTCTCTCACGTAATGTTGGTGGTTCATGTGTTTAGCCTACGTAGCCTTATGGTTGGTGGCATAGCTTGTGGACCAAAATACAAATTCTCAAATATCTGAATTGACGTGATAATTTATATAAATTTTGTGTTAAATTTTTACTGTGTGAAAATTAGAATGAGCAATTATTGCAGTATGGTACCCAAAATTAATATCTTTTGAGAAAAAAAAAAGGGGTTTAGAAACACTATAAACTATAGCTCCCATTGCTTAAATAAAGGGATTTAAATAATGAAATGTAAAAGATATAGCACGATTCACACATATTAATTCAACTATTTTTTGAGTAACAAAATGACTACTTTTTGAGAAAAAAAAAAGGAATAAAGAAGTTTACAGTATAATTTAACTTATCATAGACGAGTAGGTTGCTTTAACAAAATATTTTTTATAAAATTATATTTAATTACAAATATAATAAATTAACTGAATATTACTTATAATTCAATTTATCATGAACTCGACTAAAATTTATTTAATTATAATAAATTAAGTAAATTCAATTTATTTTATCCATAATAGTTTTTTTAATTCAATTTGATTAGACGATGACTTTAATTTTTACAAAACATCTCATTCTTAAGTATTTATTTACTTATACTGGTTTAAATATAGAATGTATTTTTTATAAATAAATATTTTTTTTTTAACACTCAATAGAAATTTCGAAAACACAGGCATCTAAATTAACTTATTCAAACTCATTAACTAATTTTATTGAACTTGTAATTTTTGTAACAATAACGCTTATTATCTTACTTAAATCTATATAAACATGTTATATAGATTAATGCTTGTGCCACAATCCAAAATTAAGAATGAATTATGCAAGCAACATTCCACATTATTTTTGGTATCAGTTCCTTATATTAAAACATTATGTTGAGAAAAATGTTAGAAATGGGTTAATAGGGAGGAATGGCACGTGCGACGGAGTCACCAAATCATTGGTCTCTATTATTATTACTTTATAATTTTTATCTTGTGTATGTGTGTGTGGTACCACAAACTTTTCTCACACGCACGTTCCCACTTGGTAGGAAATAGGAAACGGACACTATAAAATAAGGACAAGTTTTCCGTATGTATTATGTATGTGCTTGTTTTGTTCCTTCTACAACAACAATAACGTATGTCTACTCTTCTCTCTCAAATACCCATTACTTTAATATATACCTTCAAATCTTCCTCATTTGGTTCTTCATCTTTCATCTCACATGCCCACATGCCATTAAAATAATGTACTATAAATCACTCACCCTAACTCTTGTGTCCAAAATCTTGAATGGAAAATATCGTCAAGTTATTTTAGATGAAAAAAGAAACCGTCAAATGATCATGTTAACATATTCATTATTATTAATAGATCCGTGTGGCTCATATAAACTCAACTATATATATATATATATATATATATATATATATATATATATATATATATATATATATATATATATATATTCTCAATTATGTATTTTTCAAATTAAAAAAACTCAAATTTTACACTTGAAGAATCTAAACTTTGTTGGATTGACAGCATAGTGAAATATTTGAATCTTTTAACATAGAAGATGCAAACTTTAAACCAACGCGTTTGTTAGCAATACTTATTTGACTTGTGTAGAAAATTTTCCCTCTACATTTCTTTCATGACTTCTGACTGAAACTTTAGGTTATAATGCATTATATATATATATATATATATATATATATATATATATATATATATATATATATATATATATATATATGTGCTGTTTGGAATTATAATTCAAAAAATGTTTCAATTATCTAGGAACTAATTAACGCCAGATTTGATTTGATGACGTGATTGAAGTTAATTAGAATTAAGATGGTATTTAAAAAATGAATTGCCAATTCAACCAAAATCAATTAGTCAATTAAATACATTTTGATATTCTTATAACCCTAGAATATAAGTAAACCGTATAAAACATGTTGAAATATATTTGAAACTTTTAACAAGAATGATAACTTAAATAGTTTTAAACAAAAGCAAATTATGAACCCTTCAATCTAATTTGATTAAATTACTATTAATCTAGAGATAATTGTTCTTGTTACATCGTTAATTACGTAGAGTAGCAACTGAATAGAAATGGGTAAGAATAGAAGGAATAGTAGAGACATTAGGATAAGCATATATTTTATTTATATAGAAATTTATGATATGTTATTATTGAAAAATTTGGTGGGAATAGTATTATAATTATTATGATGATGTAGAATTGAGGGTCCATATAAAATGGTTTGATGAAACTATTCCGTGTGGAGTCCCTGGGAAGGGGAAGGACTCATCCGTACACAATACACATTATTGTTTTTCATTCATGTGCAATTTCTTTACCCACCCACCCATTCCATTATTTACACACACAACCCTTTTCTCAAACATATCCTTATATGTAACCTAATCCACAATGATAGTATGATTCAACACAAGAGTGTGGCCCCAACACTCTTTCTGTGGAGCAATAAATGGCTACGATTGTTATATAGCCAGAGTCTATAATGCACCACAAGGGTTGTCTCAATCTGTACCTTGAACCATTCCAAGTCATTCTAAGAAGTTTCATTTTGGACAATGAATGAACACAACAAACAAGAGAAACCCTCCTCTCCCACTTGAGCGAACCAACGAAGAGAGAGAGAGAGAGAGAGAGAGAGAGAGAATTATGAAATGGTGGTGGATTTTTTGAAAATGGAAGATTTTTGTAATTGTTTTGTTTGATTTTGGTGAGAAGATACTTGGGTGAACCTGGCTAATAAGACAAAGGGGGAACTTGGGAGGGACGAATGAGATGAAGCCAAGTGGGGACAAATGAAGGAGGGTAAGAAATTGTTGCTGGATGAGGATGTCCCTTATTCAATGCCTATCCATGCCTCCAATAAAACTCTAACCCCACGACCCATCCAAGTGGAGGCAAAATAATCCCTTCACCAAGTCTTTCACTTTCCCTTTTCACTACAAGTTATGTTACCCAGATTCTCCCCCTAAAACCAACAACAAATAATAGAGTGGATTTCGATACCAGAACCGGGCCAGACACATTTCCATAAAAAATAGAAACTGCTTAAATAAATTAAATAGAGAAAACACGAAACAAAGAGTTGTGCACAGTAGCACCAACATTCAGGGGGGATGAACTTCACTAATTCAAGGTCCACCCTCCTCATGTGAACCCCATCAACTTGATAATAAAGTAGGACCCACCTCACATACAAAGCCCACAACTCCAACATAACACTCAGTCACAACATTACATACCACAACATAACATAACACAACATAACCCTTCTCTACTCATATCAACACACCACAACACAACACAACAGAGCAAAGACCCACCACCCTCTTCTCCTTTTTACCCCCCTCCCATTCCTTACCGTCCCCACTTTCACACCATGAATCTTCCTAGTCCCTCCCCATCCCAGTTGACCCACACCCCACCCCTCTCTCTCTTTCTTCTATATACCACATTATTATTAAACAAAAACTATGCAATGCAACTAGTTATTAATATCACACCTCATCATTAATAAATTGTCCCAACTAAGCATATTTCCTTTTCCGCTTAGGATAATATTAAAATAACACATTTACTAGGGATACTTTCTTTCTATATATATTCCCTACTCAAACAACCCCTATTCCCACCCGAACACACCTCTCTTGCTACCTCATAGTCAAACAAACTAACAAACCATCCTATTTTCTCTTCTCTTCTTTCCCCTCTCTCTTCTCCTTAAATCCATACAAAACTAATCAAAACCACGAAATGGATGCAATTAGCTGCATGGATGAGAGTACCACCACTGAATCACTCTCCATAAGCCTTTCTCCCACCATGTCATCGGACAAGGTGCTTTTACCTTCTCCGATAGTGTCTTCAAAGAAGCCTTCTCCTCCGCCGCCGTCAAACACCTTGTGTCGTGTCGGCAGCGGAGCCAGCGCAATCGTCGATCCTGAAGGCGGAGGGAACACCGAGGCCGAGTCTCGGAAGCTTCCGTCCTCCAAGTACAAAGGCGTCGTGCCGCAACCCAACGGACGCTGGGGCGCGCAGATTTACGAGAAGCACCAGCGCGTGTGGCTCGGAACCTTCAACGAGGAAGACGAGGCGGCGAGGGCCTACGACATCGCCGCGCAGCGGTTCCGGGGCAAGGATGCCGTCACGAACTTCAAGCCCGTTTCCGGCGCCGCCGGAGACGCCGACGACGACGGCGAGGCCGACTTTCTCAGCTCGCATTCCAAGTCGGAGATCGTCGACATGCTGAGGAAGCACACGTACAATGACGAGCTGGAACAGAGCAAGCGCAGCCGCGGAGTCGTCCGGCGGCGCGGCGGAGCCGCCTCCGCCGGAACAGTGAACTCGACCTCCGGCGCGTGTGTTACGAAGGCGCGTGAGCAGCTGTTCGAGAAGGCCGTTACGCCGAGCGACGTGGGGAAGTTGAACCGGTTGGTGATCCCGAAGCAGCATGCGGAGAAGCACTTTCCGTTACAGAGCGTCAACGGCGTTAGCGCTACGGCGGCGAAGGGCGTTTTGTTGAACTTCGAAGACGTTGGAGGGAAAGTGTGGCGGTTCCGTTACTCGTATTGGAATAGCAGCCAGAGTTACGTCTTGACCAAAGGTTGGAGCCGTTTCGTTAAAGAAAAGAATCTGAAAGCCGGTGACACGGTTTGTTTTCACCGGTCCACTGGACCGGACAAGCAGCTTTATATCGATTGGAAGGCGCGGAATAATAATGTTAACGAGGCTGGGTTGTTCAGCCCGGTCGGACCGGTTGTTGAACCGATTCAGATGGTTCGGCTCTTCGGCGTTAACATTTTGAAACTACCCGGTTCGGAGCCAAATAATAATAATGCAAGCGCAACTATTCCCGGGTTCTACAATGGCAAAAGAAGAGAAATGGAACTGTTTTCCTTAGAGTGTAGCAAGAAACCCAAGATTATCGGCGCTTTGTAACATTACCTTAGAAACTTCGTTTTTGTTTTTGTTATTTTTTTTTTGTGACTGATGAAAGAAAGAAAGAAAGAAAGAAAGAAGGTACAAGAACGGCGGTGTAGAGGCAAGTTGCAAAAGGTGAATTGTATATTACTTAATTAGACGCTGAAATTAGGTGTAATGTAATACAAGGGGAAAAAAGAAGAAGAAACGATAACTGTTTAATTGTACATGTTGAAATGTTGAACGATGACTATGTTGATGGCATCTGATGTTGTTTCTTTTTCTAGTAGCGTGGGGTGAGGGAAAATACTGGACATGGGTTTCCAAAAATATCTGTATTTGACACACAAAAAACAAGTTTTTTTGTTGGTGAATGAAAAGTATGATGGTTAGGGGGGGTTGCGATTGAGGAAAGTAATTAATTTTGGTGGTGTGTATTTTGGGTAATGATGATAATGAGGTGTTTTGGCACGTAGTGAGAATTGCTAGGAATGAATAAAAAAAAAAATGAAAAATATAGTGAGAGAGAGGAAGGAGGGGGACCCTGATCTAAGAAAGTGTGAACAAGTTGATAACGAGACATTTGTCCAATAAAGAAAGAGGCTTGTTGGCAAGTGGGCATGGTGATTGTGTTGTGTACAGTGTACATGCCCACATTGCTTCTAATCTTAAAAACCCTTCTCAGTACGTCGCTTTTGGAACGGTCAACTTTACATGGAGCTTTGTTTGTGGCATCATTCGGCACTACTGCAGAATCTGGAACTCAGATTTTGCTCGAGACATGTTATTGCGAATACCAATATCATTTTGATAACCACGATTCTTCGCATATGCTCCAAATCAACTTCTTCTTATTCATTTCACTTCCACATTGTTTCCATTTCTATATATATTATTTTTCTCTGAACGATTACACTTCAACCTTTTTACATTAATCCTTCAATTCATGTAAATTACTTTTTCTCCTACTGTCTCCACCCTTTTGTGTTCTTATCCCCTCGTCAAATTTCGGAAAGAATAATGTTGACAGGTATCAGATAACTTATCCGTATTCCTTTAACACACAACATATTCTTGTGTTTATTCTTCATTATATTCTCTACACCAGTTCAGACAATGTGCTTTTGGAATCAATCCACTTTTAGTACAGTTTTTTCTCTTTGGGTGTTGGCATATTGCTTAACATTAGGAGTAAATGTTATTACAGTGCATTATTCTAAATTTGTTAGGCCTATAAACTTATTCCATGGCTAATATAACTACAACAACAATTATCGATTAGTGATTTTCAAAAATCTAGACTCAACACTACTCTAATATATGCATAATCGTGTCGTTGTAGACATCACCTAAATATACTTATGTTAATAATAGTAGTTCATTGTGCATTTCTTCTTTTCAAAAAATTTCAAAGCATCTCAATGGTCTAATCACTATCTACAAGTTGATATATGGAATCAAAAGGAACCAAATTAATTTTCGATAATATATTCTTTTGGTAAACTACTATAGACATATCTAGCTAGCTACCCAGTTCAGATTTAGTTAATTATTTCTTTTTGTAAATATGCTCACACAGATTAAGAGTGAAGTCTAGGTTTGAATTTGAGATTTAATTAGTTAATTACCATAATATTTTATTGGGTCTTAGCTGTTTCTTTATCCTTGTTTATGGACTGAACTTGTGCCATTACCACTAAACTTTGCCATACCTCTTTCTTACAAGTTGTGTATGAAATTAAGAACACTATACATATTGTTTGAATAAATCATACTTAACAAAAACAATTACCATCATTACTGTGAGATAATTAACATTCAAAATTTAGTAATACTTTGATTAGGTTTATAAGCATTATTCTATTAATCTCACACTACAATTAAATGTTATTGCTGTTGACAATTTATAAGATCAGTTAGGAGCCACATCTTGTTAGTTAATAACGTTGAAAAGGTTTTTGCCTAAAATTTTCGTTGACAAAGTTTTTGTCAAACCCTATACTACGAATAAGCAAGCACCTACCTCATTTGTTAAAGTTGACAATGTTCCAACATTTATATTTTATTTCGTAAAATGAAAAAAATTCTCACAGGTAGTAGTAGATATATAATAATACAAAATTGTTATGACCTGAAATTTATTTTAAATTCAATTTGCCAGCATCTTCCTTACAGTTTCCACGCAAGCAGTTCACGGGAACCTTAACAAATGTCTTCTTGTTTTTATTAGGTTTTTTAATAACTCAATTCTGCAGTTCATCTCTTGACACATGTTGCATAACATCATGCTGTGAGAATTGTTCCTTTGAAATATTTTCTTTGAATTGGGTGACACAACACAGGATTAGTTAATTAGACAATTCTCAACAACCTTCAATAACAACACATACATATAATAAAAAAATCAGAAGAAAATAATGCACACTTACTCTATATTTGAAAAAAGATTAATTCTTTAACAATGATAATTAACCAGTGATTATGTTTCAAAAATTCTTAAACAAACTGAATCAGTTGTACCGACATCAACTGGTTGTAATCATAATTTTTTTCATTTAGACTTATGAGATACAAAAATTATTTTATATTGTTTTTCTTAAAAAAATATTAAAAAATTATGGTTGTTAATATTTTGGATCATAGTGCTGTACCAAAATAAACCATTTTTTTTCACAAAAGTTTTATGAAAGTATGAGGAAAAGTCATACATTATGAAAATTTTCAATTTCTAAAGTGTTTGAAAGTCAGAATGGATTGGGCTAGTTGAATTTGCCCCTCCTTTGGGTACATATTCAATTAATATATTAATTTTTTTATAAATTAAAGTATATAATTATGAAGTAAGATAATAACATACATCTTAAAAAAAAATTTATATGCTTCTTTTTTCTTAATTATAAAAAATGTATACTCATTTTCAAATATATTAATCATATATTTCTTTTTATAATTTAACTTATTATAAATTTTACTAACTTGACACTTTAGCAAGTATAAGTGAATATATTTATTGTTCTTAAGTCTTTATAATTGTTTATCATTAGATAACTAATAGATATTTAATATTATACAAAATTATATGTATATATTGAATAAAATATTTAATAATTTTCGGTTAATTATATTAGATATTTTTTTATAAAAAATATATCTGATGTTTTTTTCGATTTTTTTTTATAATTAAATAACTGATTTTTTACCGATTGAAATACATTTAATATATATATATATATATATATATATATATATATATATATATATATATATATATATATAACTTCGAGCAGAGAGATATAATATAAATGATGAAGGATAACTATCTTAATATTATTTAAGATATTTAGAATTATTCAAATATTGATGGTTTTTGAAAAAAATAAAAACTATAGTTTGATCCGTAAATAGATCTATTATTTCCGGTTTTAAAGTGCAACTGAGACATATTAACAAAATAATTAGTTTGACATTGGATATAGTTTTACCAAAAATTGCCTAATATCAAATAATATATTATTAATAAATAATAAATTAATATAAAAAAATAATATATTATTAATAAATAATAAATTAATAAAAAATATAAAATAATAAGAGATGAAATATATAAATATATTATATTTAATAATTATTAAATTTAAAAAGATCAAATTATAAATATTAATATAAATTATAAAAATAATTATTAAATTTAAAGTGAAAGTTGTAAATATTAATGTCAATTATAACACTTTAAAGAATGACCTTCTTATTTTAAAAATCTATACAAAAGAGCCTCTCATATATATTCTTGTTTATCCTGATGAGAATATTAGAGATAATTTGTTCTTTAACTAATTAACAACATAAAACATTTTGAATATGATAATTTATTTTTTTTAACATAATATTTGACTTGAAAATATATTTTTTATATATGTACTTTATATTTTTTATTAGTCTTTACTTGATAATCTAAGAAAAATAATATTAAACCCAAAAAAACCACGTTCGAGTAAAAAATTAATGATACTAAATTGTAGTTGAAAACTAAATATATTTTCTATAATTTTTTAATAATTTTAATGAAATAAAAACATGATAATAAATACCGACATTTTCCTGGTAAAAAAAATAATCAACTAAAGTTGTTATCCTTGTTTCTAAAACCTCAAAACCCCTGGCAGATTCAAATTCCATTATCCTCTAACCAAGCCACACACATCCTCCTCTGCTTCAAATGGCGCTCACCGCTTCGCTCTCTCACAACGCTTTTCCAAAAATTCCAATAATACCCTCTCATGGCAAAGCCTTACCGTCTTCATCATCCTTTATTGGTTCTCCGCTTACACTCTCGCGCTCTTCTTCCCTTCATGGTTCGTCAGTTCCGACTCTATTCATCTTTATGTCTTCGGAGCCATAATAAATATAAAATTAAATCTATCTTTCATTCGAATGACTTTTGCTGTGTGGTGCAGGGAACCAATCACTCTCCAGAAAGCAGTTCGTGGTGTTCGCGAGGAAGGTTTCCGGGCTGCGGGAGGCCATGAATATCAAAAGGTAACAACACTATTTCACACCCGTGGTGGAATTATGCCATTGTTTTTACTATGTTTAAGCAGTTTGAATTTGAAATTTTCAGTTCATAATGTAAGGTAATAATCTTGATTTAGAGAGCACGAGACTGTTCTGAGCTTTTAGTACTTATTTAGTGTTCTACGTTTTAAATTGTTGTTGGGGTAGGATGTGATGTGATGTGATGTGACTGAAACAGTCCACAATCACAGCCTGAATTGGTTGCTTGGCTGCCCCGATCACTGACAATTCCAAAATGTTATTTAATTTTTTTTTGGGTTAAGTGCATGTTTGAGAGTTGGCTTAATAGGGTCAGCAAGGTGAGTCTCTATAACAGATTAATTATATTCTATTTATTATGAATGAAATTGAAAACCCTTTCGAAAGCTGAGGTCCTAAAATTGACATAAAATGTTGTTGGGAAAATCAATCCAAATTTCCAATCATTAATGAAAGTAAGTGGAAACTGAGAGAATCTCCCATGGGAGTTACTTGGTGAGATTAAGTAAAACATTAGTTGCTTAAAATAACTTCAATGCTTAAATATTTTTTTATAGTTGTTTCGTTAAACAACTTAAAAAATAAACAAAAACAAAGTAAATAAGAAGAGAAAATAGGAGAGATAATGAGTTCTTTAAAATTTATTAAGAAAATTCTATTGAAGTAAAATCAATTATGAATTGATTAAGAATGATGTGGTACAAAAAAAATCATATTTACATTTTTTAAGATAAGAAACAACTCATATGAGTCAGTCTTATTTATGAAGGAAGCCACTAACCATCACAATATAAAAGAATCATGTGAAGAAAGAAGATACACCCTATTTTGAGGGAGTCACCACCCTAGAGAGATTGGCCATCTTATAATGGGGAGGGTTTCTTAGGTTTGTCTAGAAAACTTCTAATGTGGTGAGATATAATGAAATATATTTGAGACGGTTCCATGGACGTTGACATGAGATGTGGAACCATGTAAATTCATGTCTTTTGCTGTTTTTCTTTTGTTGTGTTTTATGTGTTTCTTATACCTTTGATCCTCATTGTCATCCATGAATCAAATCAACCCACCTTTTGTTGGTTGGTTTGAGTTAAAACCTATGGGTTTTGCTTGTTACCCAAGCTAATGAACTTCCAACTATGATATTCCATTTTTGTAGTTTATGTTCTGGGTGTCGAGTTGTTATTCCATGGTGTATACCGTATTTGGATAGTTAAATGCTTGATAGATCTTCTTATGAGTTCTCAATATCAATAAGTGTATGTGGAACTTCTCCCCTATTATGATTGATATAAGGGTTGTACATTTTTTTCATATGTTTTTTCCCTTTATTTGCTTGACATTTAGTTATGTTGTGTATTTTATGAGAGGGGTAATAACGGGAAGGTATTCACAAATGGATCATAAATCAATTATATAAGAAAACATAATATTACCTTTAACCCAAAATTTAAGGTTGATGAAAGAAACTTACACTTGAGGGGGAGGTTATTGCAGTTCTAGTATGAGTTGGAGTCCTAAATTGTGTAGAAGTAGAAAAGTTGAGCAACATATAAATAAGAAAAATCTATAACTTTGTAACCATAAGATTTTGGATTGAAGATGATATCATGTTCTCTTATGTGATTGACTTGTGATCCATTCATGAATTTTTTTCCGGGCTTTCCCCCCTTACAAATACCTAATGAGTTAATGTCCTATCATTCCAATCTTGGAATATAAGGGATAGATATCAAATTATTTATTTATCCTTTCCTCCCTTTCTTCTTTGGTAAGCAACATAAAAGTGCTTTCTTCTGAAAATAAGCTTTTGAACTTCTTTGCTCTTCCATTTGCTTTTTTGATAAACAAATAAAGGTTTATATCTATTTATAAGTAGAAAAAATTTGATGCAACTTTATTATAGATTCTTACTCATTGTTTGGTCATATGAAGAGAACGTGAACTTCAAGTTGTGACAAAGTTCAAGAAAAGGCCTCCATTAAGGCGTGGGCGAGTGTCTCCAGGTCTCCCTGTTCCGGATCAGATACCAAGGCCTCCTTATGTTGGTTCAAATATACTTCCAGAAATTGCAAGTGAGCATCAAATTCATGATTCTGAAGGTATAGCTAAAATAAGGGCTGCATGTGAGCTTGCAGCTCGAGTCTTGAACCATGCAGGAACTTTGGTTAGGGTAAAGTTTCCTCCTTCAAGCATACTTCATGTCATTTATTTACCTGGTGTTTGCTTTCTCTTGCAAGATAGAGATCATTATTATTTGTTTAACTATTCCTTTACAGTTTAGCTCTTGTGGACAAATTTCTTTGTATGGTACATTTACCATGTTTTGGCAGTGGTTTCTTCTTAAACTTAGACACTGGTGCTGATAATCATATCTACACATTTCTCCTTGTGCTGGAATTAATAACCAATTAATCATAGCTTTTGGTTAATAGTAATAGTTGGCGAGGGAAAGACCAGTGTGTAACTTGGTTGCATATGTTTTGCTTCTATTGTTGGGTGATGGAAGTTTGGGTGGTGACCAGAGCAGAATGACTGCTATTACGACGTATTTACCTGTTTTAGGAAAGTGATTCAACGATTATTTTGTAAACCAGTTGCTTCCTGCAAAATGATAACTGTCAATCCATATTTTGTTTTATTTTTATCTTGACAGTAGAATGAAGGATCTTTGAAACTTGAGATACTATTTATTAATTTGAAAGGAGTGTGAAAGTTCTTCGTTATGACCAAGCTTTCTTGTCATACACTTGTTAGCTTTTGGTTGAATTAAATTAATTAATGGAATAAAGAATTTGCTATGCGTAGTCTACATGGTATTTGTGTCCTAAAATATGCTATAGATATACATTTTAGGTAGAGAGAAGGAAGATAACATAATAAACTTTTAGCAATATGATTTCTACTTTTATAAATATAATACAATTCCCTATCCTAATGCTCCTATTTATACTGATAATTAGGATGAACACTAGCTCTTCTGGTTCAAGTCCAAGGCTGCTAATTGCTAATGTGATCAATAATTCAAATACTGTGCAAAATAAAATGTATCCTGATTTTTCATCTACTACCATCTAGTCATGTTTACCTGTTTAGCATTGAGATAATTGGTGATGAAGTGGCAAAATTATGATGTAACAATTGATCTATGATGATAGATGCCATACGAAATTTACTATCTTAAAAGTATTAGATACATATTTGATAATTTTAGACCTTTGGTGGTCTGACCCCTTATTCACAAACTCAGGGAACTGATATGCATTTACATTGTTGGTTGAGGGAAGTAAAAAGACTTTGTACCCCTTTTATCAGTAGGATGCATCATTACTTTATGTGAAGCAGATGCAGTTTTGATCAATTAAAGAACAGTTTTTGATGGTGAAATTATAGCTTAATTAAACCTATAACAGTTGGACATTTTTTTCCATACCATTCTTTAAATTTTATTTATAATCCAACGTTTTATATTTTGGGTTTGGTAATTTGTATGTTAATCTACTTTGAGCTGCTATTTTAATCTAACTTAATCTTGGGTTAATTTGTCAGCCTTCTGTAACAACTAATGAGATTGATAAAGCAGTGCACCAGATGATAATTGATGCCGGTGCTTATCCCTCACCCCTTGGCTATGGTGGATTTCCGAAAAGTGTGTGTACATCAGTTAATGAGTGCATGTGCCATGGAATACCTGATTCTCGGCAGTTACAGGTTTTGCAAGCCTATATTACAATTTTGAACTTTATATTTTGCATGCATTCTGCTCATAACTGATGACAATGGTCTCATTTTGCAGAATGGTGATATTATTAATATTGATGTGACAGTCTACCTGGATGTATGCTTCTCTCTTCATACTAAAATTTGATTTAGGTGAAGTGGTCAAAGTATAGGTGTTATGTCTGGTGTTTATTAAATTATAGCTGTCTTATAAATTACAGTTTCATCCTCTCATAATTCCTTTTCAGCCTTTATTCTGTCTTCATCTTTTCAATGCATGTAGCTAATGATGAGTTATTAGGGTTCCTTCTTGAATCTGAAGCTGGTTTACAGTATATTTTCTTTCCATGCAAACATGCTTTAACAGGAAGGAAATTATTCGTTGGTTATGGATAAATATGCATTGGCGGTGGTGTCTGAAGTTAAAAATAAGTATGTCATTACTAATTTATTCGTTTTCAACAAGGGACAATGGTCAGTTTTCTTGCATGATTTATAGGATTTCTTGATTTTTAATGTTTACAACAACCTTCCTTATAGGAGTACATGGTGTAATGCTTTTCTAACAATTAAAGCGATCAGTGTAGGGATAGAAAAAAGAAGAGCATTGTGTGCAATATGAAAAACTCAAGGAGTGTAATTACTCTTTTAAGTATGATGCTGTTAAAAAGCCAGGTGTGTTGGGTCTTTCTAGAGAGATTTGCTGGGGAGAAACAACATCAATGATACATAAGCACAACCCACATGAAAGTCTTTCTGATAGTGGGTCAGGTAAGCATGTCCCGTTATGATGAACGACTGTATATGAAACAGCTACTAGTGAGTTTGAGGGAGACGTACCAATATGAAGGGACTCACACTTGAAGGGGAGATTGTTGAAAATCCAAGTATGAGTCTAAGTCCTATATTGTGTAAGAATGAGAAAGTTGAATAACATATAAGGAAGAAATACTTATCACCCAATGCCTTAATTTTTGGGTTGAAGGTGTTGTTAATCCCTTATGTGGGTTGTGCTTATGTTTCATTAGTATTGTTTTTTTCCAGTGAATTCCTTCAAAAGACCAAACAAGGTGAACACTGTAGGAATTTCTTACCATGTTTCTGTCAAAAATTAAGTGTGCATTTCATTTGTGGATGTATTTTCTCATGATATTTTAGCTTTGCTGAGTGTGGTAGTTATTTATTTTTTTCTTTCTCAAATAGATTAGCTGTTGTCTGTTTATATTGGATTTTGGATGCGGGTTACTAATATTCTCTTTGATGTTTATTGCTTTTAGTGTTAATGATCAATTTAATTAATTCCCCTCTATGATTAAATGAAATTAATGCCCCTTATATGCTATATTAGGGATATCATGGAGACACATCAAAGACATTTTTTTGTGGGGAAGTCAGTGATGAACTGAAAAATCTCGTGAAGGTAAATAATTATCAGCTGATTGTGGGGGAAAAGAAACTTTTCTGCACTGTTTATTTGATTGTGATAGTATATGGGCAGCACCCTATTGACCAAATATCACTTTATCTATCTATTTTTGCTTTTCTCATCATAGACTGAATTTTACTCCTCGTTAAGGAATTTCAGTTATTTAGATTTTTCATTGAGTGAATGCTTTCTCTGTTGGAAGGTAGCTGAAGAGTGTTTGGAGAAGGGAATAGCTGCATGCAAGGATGGTGCTCTTTTTAGGAAAATTGGAAAGAAAATCAGGTAAATTCAGAGTAATGTTATAGAAGAAACACCTGATCTTTATTTTAGAAGAAACAAAATATCCTCTATTCATTCATAATAAATATGATGAGTCTGCATAAACTCACACCTGTATGCAGACACAATTTTAAGTCCAATGTCTCTGAGTTATCTCTTTTCTAACAGAATATATCATAATTAAATCCACAATAAATATTTCTAAATATATAAATTATATTGTAGATTTAGGATAAATAATAAATAATTTATAATGTGGTTTAACTATTAGGAGATAAGATTTTAAGAAAAATTCGTAAGAACGTTATTGCTTAATAATAAGTCATAAAAGTGCTTTCATTTAATATAATCATCCTAAAATAAGAATATGCAGGGCCTTCGAATATTATAATTTCATTTTGAGTTAGCGTTGTTAATTATGCATTTTATTATTATAATTTCTTCATACAATTATTGTGTATGTTAGTTGATGATACAATCTGCAATTTATGGCTTATATATATTTTGTAAGCATTTTCTTTTCTTTTGAAACATTATCCCAGTGAGCATGCTGAAAAGTATGGCTATGGTGTAGTGGAGCGTTTTGTAGGACATGGTGTGGGAACAGTGTTCCATTCAGAACCAATTATTATACACAATCGTAAGTGACCAATTAACATCTTGTTTTTTCAATCATAAACTGTCTAAAATAACCTTACATTAAAATGCACATTTATTTCTTGTTTATTTTGCCCTCTAAATCAATTTGATATTTCTTGCAAATTGGTTCATGGTCGATTTTACAAAATCTAAACCAGTTTTGAACTGGTTTTAAACTGTTTTTAGTTCAAATCCTGTTTTAAATTTGTTTCAAAACCAGAATTTTGAACCTTTTTTTTCCTCTCAATCTAATTTTAAAACTGGTTAACTGAACCCTTTGTTTTAAAAAAAAAAATTAGTTTAAAAAATCAGTTCACATTATTTGGATTTTTAAAATATGATTTGGTTTGATACTTAACTGATTTTTGCATGACCCTTGTTTTTCGTGGTAACTCAGTTGCTTGGTAGCTCAAAATTTTAATGTTAAAATGTAAATGCTTTTCATTGAAAACTATTAATTAACTTTTACGTTCTTTGAAAAAACTGAAAGGTTGATTAATCGGAGGTTGGTTGTTGTTTTCAATAATAAGCTTCATTTTTCACCCATATGTGATTAATCATAGCAGAATTAGGTTGTGATTCTGGACAAACATACTTGGTGTGGTATATAGGTGCTCAAAGTCACATCTTTGGATGGGGGTAACCTTACCATCATCCTTAGTGAGAATTATCTGAGCAGTTATCTGTACAATATATGTTAGATATTAAAACCGACCATGTTCACATTTCAAGCCTACAGGGTGAATGTGGGTGTCATAAAAACAATTGATGCAACTTTACACAACATTGGGATTTGGAGGGTTCTGGAGGTAGGAGGAATTATTTTACAGTGTTACTACTTTTCCTAACAGATTTTTATTTTTATAACATGCTTGACAGGCAATGAAAAGGCAGGTCGCATGGTTGAAGGTCAGACATTTACAATTGGTAAGTGCAATGTTAATTGTACCAAGAATCCGAGTTGATAACTCCTACTTTTTTTGCAATACTTGATTCTGTGAAACCCAGATAGGGGATACGAACACAACACGATACTGGGATACGACAATATATTCTGAAATTGAGGGTATGATATGTCCAGGATGCATTAATAAAAAGTTAAATATGGATATAAATGCACAAATTTCTACCATGAACAGAGCTTAAAGGCCAAGTAAATGGGTTAGGAGAGGAAGAATAGTGTGAAGAGGGAAGAAGGCTTGCAGACTTCCTGTACTTTTTCTCTGGAGGGAATACATAATAGAGGAAATATCATGTTTGCTACTCTATCGTTTATGAATTTAAATTTTTTAATTAAAATATTTAATTTTAAATTTTAAAAATTGAAAATGGCTTAAACCATATGGGAACCGTATCCCTTTTAGTTAAGCTGTATCCCAGTTGTACTCACTCTATTTTTTAAAATATAAATAAATGAATACTTGTAAGATACTTATCCGGGCGTATCAAGACATAATTGGTGTGCAACACGAGTATTACACGGATATGTTTGCTATTTTAAAGTATCTGGGTTTAATAGCTTGCTTCACTTATTATTTTGTGGCATGTCTAGAATATTTGGACTTATTAGTAGTTGGTCATCATGTCACAATCTACAATAGTTTGAATTGAATCATTGTATTGGAATAAGAGAGGAGTGTTAGACAAATGACATCTAGAGGGGGTGAATAGATGCACAAATTAAAATAAATGCCAAATTAAAATTTATTTTAAGATGTCCCATAATTTGTTGATTCAATTTTAATTATCAAATTGATTACAGATAAACCGGAAGCGATAAAATAATCAAAGAGGTATAGGGAAAGATACAAGCGTGTAGATGTAGCAAGCGATAAAATAGGAACAGTGATTAAGGGAAGAGAAGAGCACACAATAATTTATATTGATTCGGATATAGCCAACCCTACATCTAGTTCTCAGTCACCTCTAACACAAGAGTGACCTCAATTCACTATTTTTCAAATTCAGTTTACAAATTACAATAAACTCAGTAGAGGAACCAGTAGAGAGTAAACTAATTAAAAAGACAATCACTTTCTTAAAATCTCACTAAGGATGAATATCTCCTCTGAACAAATCAAAGGATGAAAAACACCTCCTTTGCAACCAACCCACAAAGGATAAATACCTCCCTAGAATCACACTAGGGATGAACACTTCTTCTGAACAAATCAAATGATGAAAATACCTCCTTAGAATCCTACTAAGGATGAACACTTCCCTAGAATCACACTAGAGATGAACACCTCCTCTGAACAAATCAAAGGATGAGTAGAGAAACACACTTCTCAATAAACAGTTCCCACAAGAAAACCCTTAGTTTGTAGGCAAAGAAAATAAGAACAGTCACACCTGGTAATAGAGACAACAAATTGTAGAAGCATGTAGAATTATAATTCCAAGAACACAGTGTGATTACCAATGAAAGTGTAGAAGTCAGTTTAGAAAAGTTTTCTCAGAAAACCTAAAAGTGTTTTGTTGCCTTGCTCAAAATTCTTTTCTCAAAACTGATTGAATGTAAATTGAATTTTCGAATTCTGTAATTGTTTTTTTTTCCATCAAAATTCATTCAAATAGGAAAAATAGCATTGAAAACAAATCCAAAATAGTTGTTGCTCAGTAATAAATATTTAGAAAGAAATCAGGAAGTTTCCAACCACTATAATTTTTTAAAACAAATTGAAAACGAATCCAAAATAGTTGTTGCTCAGTAATAAATATTTAGAAAGAAATTAGGAAGTTTCCAATAGCTATAATTCTTCAAAACAGATTTATTTTTCAAATTTCGAATTGTCATAATCAATTATGTGCCCAGCATAATCGATTATGACGGGGAAAAATCAATTTTTCATTTCTGATGCATCATAATCGATTATGACCGTGAATATCAAAACAAATGCTTCATTTGATGACCATCACATAATCGATTATTACAGTAAAAAATGTCATAATTGCTTCATTTGCTATCATAATCGATTATGACAGTGAAAAATATCATAATACGAAATTTTATCACACTTGTGCTTTGGAGACTTATGCATAATACTACTTCATTAACTTGTACCTCCATATCCAGTATTCTAAGACTCTAACTAGTCTTCAGGCTTTATCTTGGACTTGCTTGAATCTTGAATAATGTTGACTTGAATCTTCATCAAATATTGAATGGTATTGACTTGAATCTTCAAACTTCATCTTGGACTTGCTTGAGTCTTGAATGGTGTTGACTTGAATCTTCATCAAAACCATCTTTTTCAGAATATAGGGATCCTTGGTAGAAAGAAGTGGTAGGTAGGGTTCTGTTTGAATTTAAGAAATGCATTTGTTTCATTTTGTGGAGATTCATCATCATCATCTCTAGATGGTTATAAAAATGCTACATCATAATTTAGAATCAAAATTGTCCTTGTGGCATAATTTTGTGGTGCCTTTATAGTTTATATCTGCTCACTTCCATTATAGAATGTATCACTTATTTTGAAATTCGGTTCTGAAACTAAGCCAATGCAGTTTTACAGCCATACATGTTGTCTTAAAATGAAAATATCAATCTAAACTATTTGTCATGCTTATTTTCTGAATTTCTCTTGGATGTGATTTGCTGTGTTCATCAAGCTGGGTGTTTCGTCTTGAAATGGACTGATCCCTTACGAATTCTACCTAAATTTCAGAGCCGATTCTTTCAATGGGAAGCATTGATTCTGTTACATGGCCAGACAACTGGACAACGTTAACAGCTGATGGTAGTGCGGCTGCACAGTTTGAACATACTATTTTGATAACTAAGACTGGAGCCGAAATTTTGACTACATGTTGATATGGTAATTCTTTTTAATTCTCATATCTGAATAGAGAGTTTGGGTCTAAATTGTAAATATGTGCCTAGAAATCAATTCTCTTGTGTAAGATTATGCTCAGCCAAGTAAGATTCCCTGCAGGAGCTGTAATACCAAATTCTCTAGTGCATAGAATTTTCATGTATGATGATGGTTTAGAGACAAATATTTCTATCATAAAATATTAAGCTATGACAATGCATTCAGAGTTCTCTGCCCAGATAACCGTTTGAATTGGTAGTCTAATTTATTTTGCGAGAATAGCTTGGTTATTGTTCGTTACCAGTTGTCTAATTTTATGCTTGGAAGTTAGCGGAAAGAGTTTAAGCTTAGATTCATATAAAGTGGTGGACATTAGCCATGAGACTAGACTACACGATAAATCTGTTCTAGATGAGGATTTTCGAGTTAAATTTCAGATTGACATAGAGAAACTTCGAATCAGTAAAACTGAGTCAATAAAAAAATGTACGGCTTGCCATTCAGTAATAATCCCGGGCTCAATCTTAAGAAATTAACAGGCTTTGAATAACTTACCGTACGGGAATTGGTTTGGAAATATGTCAATCGAGTTTTATTGCAAGTTGCATATATTGTTTTATTGTTCTTTCATGAGATTGAGAACAAGCTCTTATAATGTTTTGCACATTAAATTAACAATAACTAAGGAACACCAAACCAAAACAAATGTGTCGTGTGGCGTTTCACGTACGGAAGTATATATATTAAAATATAGAATAGCAGCCAAGCGTGTGAAGTGTCCCAAATTATATTCTAAATTGACTAGTAAATACGACCACTTGCGTATATAAATAATTTTACTAGAGACTTGACTTAAACATTCGTTTTACTAGTTAGTTACGAGGAAAGAACGCAGCAGATGCCAAGTTTTTTACTCTATACTTCAGGAAAATGACAGAAAAAGAAAAATCATTGAAGATGGTAAAAAAGAAAAACTCAATTGGGAAAAGAAGGCACTGGTAGGCCTTACCGTCCACTTTCTTTTCACACCTCCCAAAATACATCCACGTGTTAAAAGTTAAAACAAAATTATTCAATGATTTTTCCATTTATAAAGCTCCTTTAACGAGGCATTCATCACCATCAATGGCTTCCTTGAGCTCTCTGAAAATGATTTCTTCCCTCAAACTCTCCCATTCAAGTTCTAGTTCTCCTCTTCAAAGCCAAAAGAAAGTAGGTTCTAGTCTCTTTCAATCCCTCCCAGCCAAAACATTAAAATTGTCAGCTACCCCTCTTGTATCTACATCTAGAAGAAGTACCAACCACACCACAACCACTGCATTCTTCTTCAATAACCAAAAACAGCATCAAGATTCTCCAAGGCCAGGTAAGTGCTTATCAGATCCCTTGCTAGATCATATGTACACAAAATCTACTTTTCAACAAAGCTCATTTCAAAAGTCACTAGTTTTCCTCTCAGTAACTTCTTTTGAGTAGGGCATTTTTTAACCATAATTTGTATAGAGCTAGCATTCCTCTCAAACGAATTTGTTCATTTATCCAGCCAAAGTTCAAGAACTCTTTGTCTATGAGATCAATGAACGTGACAGAGGCAGTCCTGCATACCTCAGACTAAGCCAGAAACCTGTCAACTCTCTAGGAGATTTAGTGCCTTTCAGCAACAAGATATACTCTGGAAACTTGGAAAAGAGATTAGGAATAACTGCAGGCTTATGTGTGCTCATACAGCATGTTCCTGAGAAAAAGGGTGACAGATATGAGGCCATTTACAGCTTCTACTTTGGAGACTATGGACACATATCAGTGCAAGGATCTTATCTCACATACCAGGACACATATCTGGCTATCACAGGAGGCTCTGGAATCTTTGAAGGTGTGTCTGGACAAGTGAAGCTGCATCAACTTGTGTTCCCATTCAAGTTGTTCTACACTTTCTACTTGAAGGGTATTCCTGATTTGCCTGCTGAACTACTTGGGAAGCCTGCTGAACCTTCACCAAACGTTGAGCCATCTCCAGCTGCTAAGGCTGCTGAGCCTCATGCCTGTATACAAAACTTCACCAACTGATGATGCAATTGAGCCCTTTTCGTATTCTGAAAATTTTAATTTGACTTCAATTCAAAAAAAAAAAGTGTATGCGTTGAATCTTCTTTTGGTTATGTTGGACTAGAGCCTGATTGCCGTTAAATTAATGGAAGGTTTCATCTATCTTCATCTTCATGTGGCCCTTATGGGATGAAATTATTCGTTATTGGACTTAAAATATGCACTGCACTCTCTGGTTGATAGTAACTGCAAATGCTAGAAAAATCTTAGTCAAGTGAAGAAACTTTGCAGGGCAAACTTTTAAATGTGGAGTGCCATGTGGGTTGTGGCTGTGAGAAACAACTTGGATTGAAGGAGAAGGAAAATGACATCTAAGATTTCCATTAATAATAACATAGTTGCATCCTCGTTGTTAGACTCAAACATAGTTTATGGCCATTTGCACAGTTCAATCAGGCTATAAATTTTATTTAAAACGGATCCAATATAGGTGGTTTACAAATGATAAATTTTATTTAATATAGGAGACTAGAGAAATGGATCATATCATCAAAATCGATTGGAATCTCCTTTATTATTTATGGTGTGTTTAATTGAAGAGTAGAATAAAAATAGAAATAATACATTCAAATAAATAGGTTTATTTTATAAGATATTAGAGATACAGAGAAATAAAGTGAGTAATTATTATACGTTTTGTATTATTCATTACTTCATTCAAGTTTCTTTTTTCCTTTTTAAGAAAAAGTTATTTATTTTCATTTCGTCCAAAATTTCAACTTTCATGCACTCTCATGTTTGTTAAACACCACCGATCCTCGCTTACTGTTAACAAAACAAGCAAATGAAAACATGACGATGCTATATTTAAATCTCTAAGCTCAGGTATAATAAAATAGGACATGTAATGCGATTATATGAAAGATTTGAAATTTTCGGTAATTCATTTTGTCCTTTTAATTAGGGACCCCGTTTTGGCCCGCCCCGCCTTTGACCCGCTAAAAGCGGGGCGGGCTGACCCGATATAGTCATGACGGTCATGTAGACTTGGCCGTCCCGCCAAGTGGCGGGTTGACGGCTCGCCTCGCCATAATTTAAAAAAAATATTTTTTTTTAATAAATTTAATAATAAGATTATTATTTGTTTGTCAATAATTCAATATATATATATATATATATTATTTCAATTTAATAATATAAATCAATACATTCTTTTAAGAAATTATAATTTAGAACAATAATAAAATTTACATAATAATAAATAATAACAAATATATATATATAACGTTAAACTTATAAAATTTATATTTTTTATATTGAAAAATTCAAATACCTATATCTTTTTTATTTGATAAAACTTCATATTATTCTTGGTTGAGTAATTCTTATACCTTTAATTCAAGTAATAAGAATAAATATAATCAAGTACTTAGGATAAATAAGGAGAACATGAGAGAAGATTATATTTCAGGAAGGAGAATATTTTCCGTGAGAATGAAACTTTTTTAATTCTCTTTTTAAAATTTTTAACTTTATATATTATCTTTATAATTAATTTTATTATAATAAAAAATTATTTTTTTATTAATTGGGCGGGCCGCCCCGTCCAGTGGGTTGGCCCGACGGATTGGCAGGGCGGGTCAAAGCGGGCTGGTGGGCTGAAAACACCAACCCGCCTCGCCATATTATGGGGGTTGGCGGGCCAGCCTGCCGGCCTAGCCCGTTTTGCCATCCCTACTTTTAATATATTTTTTTTGTTTTTAAATTATAAAAATGTGTTAAATTTGACTTCAGATAATTAGAGTTGTTTCTCCTCCCAAATTATCAAGACAAATTATTTGCACTGCAAATTGGTTATATCTTTCTTGTCTCATCAAAAGAGAAGAATTTTGATCACCATGACAACATGAAGAAGGTAATAGAAGATGGTTTTTTTTTTTTTAAATATTTATTGATGATTATTTCATGTAAATATTTTTTAAATGAAATTCATTTTTGTGTTTTGTTTAGGTGTTTCAAAAGGCGCTTTTGAGTCAAAAACAAGAAACCATGAACACTAATTCATGGTATGTTAGTGGTTTGGGTTTCTAAAAAGGGAAATGAATTAAAAGCATTTTCTTTGTGATTTTTCTGCAAGATAATATTTTATTGGGGTGTAAGATCATAGAGATTACAAAACAGGATGTATTTTGTTGTTACAATTAATTCAATACGATATATATTTTTGGTATAGAAGGGACTAATTGGACTTAACATTTCTCATAGAATTATATTTAGAAATATTGTATTCTCGAAATCAATAGGATATCAATCAAAAGTGCGAACTAACATCTTTTGGGTCACAAGTAAAAGACAACAAAATGTACATTTTAGATCTAAATGTGTAGCTAAAGATATTTGTAGAATGGAAAACAAAATTGATATTTGTAGAATGAAAAGCTTTTGTGTTGCACATCTTCACAGAACTAACAGTACAACCATGGTTATTATTACCTTATGCAGTTGCAGAATATCAAATGTCATTACAAATATGTAGTACCAAAGTGGAGTCTCACAAACATCCAGTGACATCAGAAAAAAAAATTGTTAAGAATACAAATCTGATTTGAAATTAAATGAAGGCTGAACCATGGGATTTTAAGTCAAGAACAGGATAAACAGAAAACTCCAACCAAGAATACAGTTTAGATATCAAATCTGGAATGAAAAATTGTCCTAAATATAGAGCTGAGAAGATGTTGGCCCTGCATGGAGCAAATACAGATTTGAAATGATGTCCATCAACATCATAGCTGGTACACAGGAAGAAACAGGTGGATTGATGATATAGACAATCACAGGAAGAAAAATATTTATTTATTATTTTTATAATATAAAAATTAGGGTGCAACCATGTTTTGAATGGTAAGCCTTAACGGAAAGTGGGTATCGAAATGGGTTTTCAAATTGGATTTTAATTAAATTAGGATAAAATTAAATAAAAACTAGAATTATATTATTTTTGTTTTATTTTAACAATTATTCATCTTATATTTTATAATATATTTTATATTGATAATTTTTTATTATAATTTATAATGATCATAATAAATTATTATTATTATTATTTTTTATAAAAATGTTATTATTAATGAATTATTATGTATTATATTATAAAAATACTATTTTATTAAATTTAGTTTAACTTAACCTTTAAATCCTGACCCATTTCTTTAAACTTGTCTAATTTTAAAAATATTAGGTATAACCATTAAATGAAAAAAGGAAATATAAATATTTTATAATATGTTTCATACTCCTTTTATATTGAACTAATATTTCTTGTCTTTTTTTTATCTTCTATAATAAAATTATAGTAAAGTTATAAATTAGAAATGATTAATTAAAGTGGTGTTAACACGCGGATCATGCATCATCCACTATGCCAAAATAATAAAATTGTGTCATTCTCAACCTTTCAAACATGATATCTTTAATAGTTATTAGAATATAATTGTCAAATTTTTAGATTTTTCAAATTAAAATTCATATAACATTATTAAAATGTTTTTCACGAATTAGGTTAATTTATTTTCTAGATACTTGCTAGTATGTGTTTAAAATGTTAAAACAATACATTAATAGTTTGTGTACCTTCAATAATACATGTTTTCTAGCTACTGCGGTAAACACGTGACCTTCTTCAGACGAGTTAGTTTATATGTTCAGATACGAAAGAGGTCAAAACCTATGTGTATAACAAACGTGATTACTGCGTTTAGACATGTCCCTACACAATTAATCCTGACACACTTATAGACATAGCAAATTAGAGTTACGAAAAAGAAACGTTAAATGTGGACAAATAAACAACCTAGTGTACGAAGCTCCCATTGAATAGGGTCCCTAAGGAAATAAATATATGCAAATCATATCCTGCAATTAGAGAGGGTAAGGTACTACCTTACAAGTCAGGAGTTTACTGTTGTGCAAAGACATTTTCTACTTTATTATATAATATTTTTATTAGAAAAACTCATGAATATTAAAAATAGGAATAGTTATTAATAATTTTAATAAAATGCACAAAATTGTAAGAAAATAATATAATAGACAAAGTATAATCAAAAGATTTTCTAATATTTTTTATATACCATATACCTATTTTGTTTGATAAACCTTTATCTATTATGATTTCAAGTTTCACGCACTACTAACTAATAATAGATTCTTGAATAAGTTCATGTCAAGTTTCTCGTCCAACTAACTAATAATAGATTCTTGAATATGTTCATGAAAATGTAAAAACTGCATGCACAATAGAAAATAGGAAGATGACTTTTTCTTAGTGCTATATATACTAGTAATTGATTCATAATTAAAAATATTTTTCGTAAGAAATGAATCTTTTAAATATGTTAATTAATAGGATACAATTGTTCATCATGTATATGAAAAAAAAAACCACTTAAATAATTTTTACATTTAGAGATAATTAGTAATATCTATATTCCCAGAAGATATTCTTTAAAGAAAAAATTGTCTGTCCTTTTCAACACTCCCCAAATAATCAATGAAAAATGTAGTATTTGTTATACCAAGGATGTCTGATGTTTAGTTAATGTGTGAAATAAGAAGTGAATAAACTACCATAGCAGTAAAATTTGCCTACTTAATAGGGAACTAAGTAATTTAAAAGTTAAAGTAGTTGTTAGTCTGAATTGAATCTTTTGCCTCGGATCTGAAACTTATGTCTCTAATGCGACTTCTCTATCATCCTACTCAGATATCTTGTCTTTCTGTTGTTTAAAATGCTTTTGAGAATTGTTTTTCCCCAGTAACCAGACAAACATTAATTAATGAATCAGTTTACTTAGATCTATGTAAACTAAAAGCAAAAGCAAAGAGTTTCACTTGAAAGATCCAAGCATGCATGCACAGTATTAATTTATTCCCTTTTTGTTTTCAAATCTTTCCATTTTCTTCTGTTTTCAATCTGCTTTTCATGTTACAAAAGAAGAAAGAGGGAGGAAAAAGCATAAAAGAGGGCAAGATATAAAGTACAAGGCACAAAGATAAAGCCTCGAGCAAAGAACAAAGATCAGAAATGACCATGCACATGCATTATTATTTCATGAATGATTGCTTGTGATTACTATTATGCCATGTTGATAAATAATTGACATTGTAGCAGACTTATTATTGACTAAAACTTCTCAATCCTAACACCAATTATTACAAAACCAAATAAAATTTACCTGATCAAGTCAAAACTTGAATAACGTATGCGTGAACATAGATATAGTCTTTCATTAATACATTTTCAGAGTACCATACTATATGAATGTTATATCTAGTAACAAGCAACAAAAGGGTGATGGATGAAGTAGGAGGGAGGTTGTACAAACTTACTGATAGAACAATGTCAGATACTAATTAATGATTAATTAATTAATTCCCATAGTAGTGGGGGAGGGGGTTAAAAAAGTGGGGGAGGAGGGTAATAATAAGAACAAAAGTGCTGAAAATGTTTCGTAGTATCTGTTTGTAGTTGGTCTGAAAAGGCAAAAGGCAGCCCTTTGGGTGAAACCCCAAAAACAGCAACACATAGCAGTGCTCCATCTATCGTTACCACACACACTGACAGTATCAATCCATCAAAGGTGTGTTACCAGAGCAGTGCTAGTCCATGCTCAGTAAGTATCACTGACCCCTCAAACAAAAATAAAACCAACTTGATACTCTCTCTCTCTTTTTCTACTGTGTATGTGTTTCCCTCTCTCCTTCTCTGCACAATATCTATGGCGATGCAAATGCAAAGTTTTGAACAGTAGAATCTGTGACTGCCCTTGTCTGCATGTCTGTCTCTCATCTGCAGTCACTGAATACTCTTGACTACCTCTTCGTGACTCTCTCTCTCTCTCTCTCATTATCACAGGAAAAAGTAGCATGAAAAAGAAAACGTCCTTTAATTAGATAAGACTGCCACTTCTGGCATTAAATGCAAGAACCTTAGCTTTCATTTCACTGTTTGTCTCCATCTTCTCGCACCCTTCTCTCTCAGAGACAACAGACAAAGGTTCGGTGTCTAATTCATTCACCCAAATCTTAGTTATAACGAAAATCCAACAAGGTAAATAACTTGTCTCGTCTCAATTTTTAACAAACTTTGTATCTACACTATTCCTAAGTATAAACATTAGACTTGTGATGTCTATTTAATATTAACTAGTGCAGTGATAATTATTCTTCAACACATTTTTTAAATATTTTTTATAGTTAAATTTGATAATCTTTTAGCTTGTAAAGAATTTATCATGTTAACAAATATTTAAAAGTTATTAACACACCTCTAGTATTTATATACAGGATTAATAGATACAAGATTTAAAAATTTAAGCATATTGATAATCAAATTACTTAGTTTATGTCTCCTTTTTATCTTTCAAAAAATAGTTTAATAAGAAGAAAAAAAGTAATGGCTAATCGTAATGTTATATAGTTGAAAAGAAATATTTTTTAGTTTTCTATATATTATTTAAATTTTTTAACCACTAACATAAGAATTAAAACTAAAATTATTTTAACAATTAAAAGATATTAGATTTTTGAAATACAGTCCTAGAATACTATATTTTATATTTATAAGAAATAAATCAGTTATTAAATCTTAATCACAATAAAAAAAAATGGAGACAGAAATGGAGAAGAGGTCATTTCAATCCATACTAGAGAATCCGTTCAACACTTCATATTATTAATTAAAACCAAAAACCACTTCATTACTGTTATAATCTTCATCATCATCTTCTAATTCTAATTCCTCATCATCTTCATCACCTAACAAGTCATCCTCCCCAATCTGATCGCAACTCTCCACCGTGTGTGGAGCGTGGCCATCACCAAAGGCACGAACATGGTCTTTCAGAGACCTCTTGTGCTTGAAATCAGAGCCACATATGCAAAACCAAAGCTTACCACAGTTTTTCTCGTGTGTCCTCCAATCCCCTCTCACAGCAAAAGGCTTGCCACATTTTCTGCACCCAAAAGGCTTTGCTCCATGCTTCCTCTTGTAGTGAGTCTGAAGAGTCCTAAAATCCTTCAGTGGCCTTGACCTTGGATGGTCTATGTTGTTCTTGCAACCTTCAGCACAACAATAACAAGGAAGCCTCAGCATTGAAGAAGCTGGTTTTGCCCCTCTTAGTGATTCAGGTCCTTTCCTATATTGTGAACCGTGTCCCCACATGTGCATCTGCTTTGTGACAATGCATTAGGGAAACTTGTATTACCTACTGTTAATTAATGCACCATTCATCCATGAAAAAAATGATAAATTTCAAAAACCACGACAATATATTTCGTCTCACAAAAAATGGGGTGGGTTGAGGTGAAAAGATATTCGATCATGAAAAGATAAGAAGAGAAAATAGATAGATATTCGATCATGAATGTTTGACATTCTTTTGGGGATGTGAAAGTGTTAATTAAATTGCAAACTCATTATTACAGGTGATGTAAAGGGATGAACTAGAGATCACCAAAGCGATGTGTAAAGTCATTTTGAAAGAAATCACGGCTATTTTATGAAAGAAAGAAAAGTAGAAAGGTTCAAAGAAGGATCATTAATGATGTCAAATGCAAATATTAACTAGAGAGTGTAACGGTTACTTGTTTCTTGTGTATCTAAATCTTGGATAGTAAAAAAATTGTTTTTTTTTTCTGCATTCTTTCTTTCAAATCCATTTCACCTAGGCCTTAAAACTAAGCATGAGATTTTGATGGAATTGATGGATAGACTTTCTTTTTTTTTTTTTTTTTTTTTTTTCAGATGTGGTTGAGTAATCACCTGCATGTTGTTGAAACGGTTGAACATTTTGTTGCAGACAGTGCAAGAGAACTGGGTGGGTCCAATGAGGATTTGAGCAGGAGAAGGGATCCAGTACTGGCCCTGAATGGGAGCCGAGGTCAAATGAAGATCAGGCTTGCTAGTGGGGGTGGGACTGATTGTTGAAGCGGTATTGGGAAGACCAATGTGAAGGGCCACAGTGACACCTCTCTGGTCATCAGAGGTAGGGTTATGCTGGTAATGGTGCAGAGTGGAAGGGTGGTTAGAGGAGGAGGAGGAAGTACCTTTGGGGTTGTGTTGTTGGCCAGGAGGACCAAGAGAGAGAGAGATGGAGTCTTCATCCACATCCTCTTGATGATGATGATGATGATGAGGTTCCAAGAAGGCACTGCTGCCAGGACAAGAGGATATGTATGAGAAAGGGTGAGTATGCATGATTTGATCTGTGAGATATATGGTTGATGGGGTGTTTTGATGTTATTGTATGATGTGGTGAGAGAAGGTGGGTAGTTCGGTAGGAGAGAGTAGAGTAGTGAGGGACAGGGAGAGAGGGTTTTTGTGTAGTGTGGTGTGTGAGAATGTAAGTGGGGACGAGAGAGGCAATAAATAAACAAATCTTGTGGATGTTAACTTTGGCTTCTGTCATTTGAACATTGAAAAACAATTATTATTCTAATCAATAAAACAACTTATAATACGTATACCAAGTTTTAAATATAGTGATTTTGTTGCATTCTTCTTAAATCAAATTTGACATTGTAATTAAAATAGATATCCCATACTTTTTCTAGAACATTGCAATGTACACATCTAATTTCACATACTTTTAGTAAGATTTTTGTTCAATAAACTTAATTGTTGATAATGGTAACAAATATTATAACTCCATACAAAAAAACAACAACATGAACTCATAGCAAGCATAGAAAAAGTGATTGAAAATATATAAATGTATTGATTGGAGTACCATGTTGAGTTGGTTAAATTTGTTTGATATTATAAGTGTGATGGAAGAGATAGAAAGGAGAGAGAGAGAGAGAGAGAGAGAGAGAGAGAGGGTGTAGTAGTATGTTGGAATGGCATGAGTGTGTGTGCGTACGTGGAATGAAGGGAAAATGGTGATATGATGCGTTTTGGCGTGTTTGGGAATAGAGGAGACACAGCACCGGCAAAGGAGGAAAGTGTGAGAGTAGCAATGAGGCAAAGGAGGATGCAATGCATAGAACATCGCACCAATATACGACACTATAGCAGCAGCACTGCCATGCCCTCTTCATTTCTCTCTCACTGTCTCATATATATTTCTGTTTCATTCTATATCATCCACGTTATCAAATTCAAATACAAAATATCACTATTAATATATTCAAACACGTCAATTAGTTCTTAAGCCAAAACACACTAATTAATACTTTTGGGGCCACTTGAAACATTTCATTCAACTCCATTATAGCGATTTTATAAGCTTTTTTTTTCTGTTTTAACAATTTTCACGGGGGAAATATAAAAAATTAATTGATTTTAATTTATAGCGTTTTACTATATATCAAGTATGTGAGAAAACTCTAATTTATAAAATAATTATTAATATGATATTTCCAACTTTTCTTCCATTTTCTTCTTATAATTCTTTCATTTTCTATCCCATCATTTTCATATTCATTAGTTTATCCGTTATTTTTCTTCTCTTTATCTTCATTTTTTCTTCATCCTATAAAATATTTCCAACATTTGTAAATTGAAAACTATATTATAAATATAACTGGAGAAAGTTGTTAAATAAGAAACAAAGGCCGACATCAAAAAAAATATTTGTAACATTCATCTGATGCCAAGATCTTAATAATATAATGAAAATAATATAAAAATACACGCATTAACTTTTTCATCTGATATTATAGCCCTAAACTTTGCAGCACATTAATAATTGTGAGGCCCTTATTGATAATTTTCATGTAGGGTTCTGAGAGTGTTGTGCCCACATTTACTCTCTCTCAAAAAGTTGAGAGTGAGTGGGCGATGGCACAGTCCCTTTCGGTTTCAGAGAGACTCAGAAAAATCACAAAACTAAAAGTGAGAGGGTATAAGAAGAACACAGGGAGTAGACATGGAGAACTGTAGAAGGTGGAGGCGTGTGTCTCTCTCTCTCCCCCACTTTGTCATTACCAGAAGGGATTGTGAGAGCGACCCTGATGTTGATGCTGATACTGATGCTAATGCTACGGAAGTGATAGTTGCACTGTGTAATTACCATGTAAACCAATACCTTTCTGTCTCTACCACCATGCCTCTTATTCTTCATCCATCACAGATTGTGAAAAGGGGAATCATGTATTTTAATAATGCTATTTCTCACACTCCATGTGAAACGGGGTTTTGAGAGAAACAAAGATCAAACAAACACCGCAAAAAGAATACGAGAATGTAAGATTCATCAGAGATACAATATATAGTTTAACTTCTTTTCTCTCTTTTCTTTTCAACCAAACAGTTTCATACTATAATTTTCATTTTATTTTTCTTAAATCAAATTGTTACATTAAGATGACGATAATAATAATAATACTAATAAGCGGAAAGAAGTGATATTATATATGTACATGTATGAAAAGAAGTCATTATGACAATATTTTATTACAGTGATGGAATACAAGAGGATGAGATTAGGGCAAAGTTAGTTGACAGCACAGACATGTTGACATAATTTGACAGAAAGTGAAAGTAAAAAAGGCCATTTTTTCTCTGATCTCGCGAGTTATTATTGGAACAATGGAATGTGTGTGGAGTTATTGAAAAAGAAGAAAAAAAATGGAGAATAGTTCACGTGTTGGCACGGCTTCATAGTAAAGTTTTGGGGTGATATTTTGGTAACCCTAGTTTGGATATTAGTTATTGTAATGTTTTGGCACGACTGAGAATCTTTTGCATAAGTACCATCACGGGATACAAATGGAGAAATTCTCAATGTTGGACAAAAAGTCAGAGAAATATGGGATGATTCTTTGTCTTGCCTACTCAATCCATTAATGCAAGCACGCTACGTGAACAGTTTGCAACTTTTCACCATAACCAAAAAGAAGGAAGAAAGAAAAAGAAGAAATGAAGGGGACAACATTAATGGGCCGAAGGAAATGGTTGGTGTGGGCCATATCTTGATTGGACATAGCCCAAAACATAAATAAAACCTTTGATTGACTGTCACACCCATCCCATCACCATCACCAAGCATCTTTCTCTATGCTTTCATTCAGAGAGTCCACCAAAAGGGCTAGTAAAAGGTCATGTACAACTTCCACTTTGAGAACTTCATCTAAGCTAGCTTCATTATGCCTACCTTCTTCTAGGGCTCTACCCTATTTTTATCTATGGCTTATATTCAGTTTCCACTCTCCTACACTTTCTGGTTGTTTAATAAGAAGAAGAAACTACATATAGCATAATATTTACCAAACACATAACTATCCAAACATTGGAATGAATTAATAGCCGTGAATCTTGGACGCATCACCCATCACTGATGCCTTTCCATTTTTGCATCAAGCTGATTTGATGTTACTCTGAATTTTCCACTCACCACTGTTCTCACTTGTTTAATGTCCATTGCAAACACCAATTCAGTCAAACTAAATCACTATCAGATTAAATGGCCTAGTTGACCTTGCCAAACAATCTATTCTTTATCAACAACATCCACTTCAAATCACACACTCACCGCATTTAATTAATTCAACGTCACCACTAGGTTAGAATCACCACACTACAAATATATTCTGAAATCATTCAAATCTATATAGTTAGAAAGAACTAACATATTACGCCAAAAGTCCTAACTCAAGAATTTAGGATCTAAATCCTACCAAAGACCGAACATTGGGAAGTAACCCCAAAAGAACATAATTTATTTGCACAATATTTTGCTTCTCTATAAATATGGGACACTCCAAAATACACATTTTAATACTAGTGTTTTCTATACATGAAAATATGTTTTTCTAAACTTGTCCATTATTGTTGTAATTGTAATTTATACAAGTTACTGCATTTTGTATACTTAGAATAAGTTATGTGTAGTTTATAACAAAATATTTGTTATAAATATGTTGCAATTAATACTGTGATCTAATTAAGTTTTTTTTTTATAGGATGATCTGATTTGTATTTAATATTACAAAAAAAATGTAAATAAACCGGTACAAAAACCATAGTGTCTAAAAATAAAATAATAGTCCAGCTAATCTCTGCTTATGGACATCTGCATCGCAGAACCCATGTTGTTTCAATGTTATATGGTGAATGCATGTAGCAAATAGTTAATTACTTTAACGGTTATTGTTTGTGTTCAGTAGCTGGAAAATGATGGGAAAGCATTATTGAGTTGAACTAGGACAAGATATAATTTTGATAGCTACTGCTATAAACAGCACCCAACATAATTTAGGTTAATGTTAATTCCATATATTTTTGTCCAAGAAAAGGTGTAGTAATATATTTTTTTTATTGTTGATATTCACCAAATTATAGTGAGGCTTATGAAGTAGATCGTGAAATCCATATTGTTTTTCAGGTCTAAGACTTTAGTTTTGGTTTCCTGAATTTTTTACATTATTATCACTTAATTAAGAATAATCTGAAATATAATTTTTAAAATAATGAATTCTTACAAAAACAATAATCCTATTATCATACAAATTATAATTAAATGATTTTATAACAAATATGTATATCATGGATTAATGAATTATAATAAAAATATATTAGAGTGTGTTATTAATGTTGCTTTTGCTATTAACTAATTTATTTGGACATAGTTAAGCACAAAGATTATATCTATGAGAATATATGAACATGTATGTATATATACCTACCTTATTTATGACTCAAGTCCCAAACAAAAGTGTCCTGCATTCACATGGAGGACATTATTACAGAGGCTCTGAACCATGCTAAACACAGTGACAGCATAACTGGCCTTAATGAGCTTGTCCTTACATAACCAGCAGAGGAAATAACATTTTCCCAGACAACATCAAACCGTCAACTCAACAGTTGAAAGAGGAACATCCTCTGGAATCAAAATCAACGCTGTCAAAACACTCATGTCATATCAGATTAACTTAATTGCTTTATATGTTCATGATGGAATTAGGGTTTAGGAATTATTAGGACACACCTTTGTCAAAGAAGAAAGAAACTGCAACACACATGCATGCATGTTGTTGGCACCAAATAAAAAAGATGATATTTCTCTTCAAACCCCACGTGACCAGAAAGAGTCCAAACTTGGATAAGGGCAACTTTTGCTTTTTGGTGCTTATTAGGTTAAGCAACTTTTTTTTGAGGTAAGTTATTGAGATGATATGAGCCCCACTGGAAACCCATATGATCTAAATGGGTTGGAGGGTTTAAACTCAAAGTCTTAAACTAGTCCAGAATTTGACAGAGGATTGAGGTAAAGGAAGAGAGAGAGAGGAAAAGAAGGCTTTGGATTCTATAACATTGATTGAATGAGATGGGCCAAAGAAGTACAGAAAGGAACTGTTGGTGATGCATGTTGAGAAGGGTTAGTGAAATTGGTATAAGAGGGAGTTTGAATGGAGGAAAGAGAAAGATAAGTTTTCCAATTTGTTGTTCTTGTACGAGAAAGGAAACTCGGACAAAGCCAACAGTGGCATCTGAGACTTTCATAGCCGCCCCATCATTGATACGTCACTGCCTCACTTCACAGGTTATGTTATCCCATTCCACCTACCCATTATTCAATGCTCTTACCTTCTCTCTGCCTAGTCATCTTTGACTCCAATTTTGTACACTTAAATACTTTTTACTCATTCTAATCCATAATTGATGGATGAAACCAAATAATTATCCACTGTATGGGTCAACTTAGCATGAATGCAGCATGCACTCAAAGACAATTCAATTAATTGCAAATTCAATAAGTTAATAAAAGTGTGGGTGCAACAGCTTGGTGCCTGTGTGAGAGAAGTAGGAAGAGAGAAATAGAAAGATGGAACAATGTTATCCTGGTTAGTTTATGCCATGGACCAATCCAATATTTCGGATTTCAAACAAACAAACAATCAAATATATACCTGATCCAGTACGTTTCATGAACTCTACACAAAAGAAGTCAAAACAGCATAGGTAGAAAAGTATACCAAACCTATTTACAAAAACTATTATCAATAAACAGGTAAGAAAATAAAGCAAGCTAATAATACACCTTATCAAACAATATGAAAAACTTGAAGTCTGTTTGATATTGTTTTAGGTTTTAGAAAAAAGTTTAGTAATAATTTATTAAAAAAGAAACGCACAATTTGAATTTAAGATCAATAGAAAAAAAACAATATTCCTTAATGAATCACTAAAGTCTAATGATATTATCAATAATGATAATTAAACATGAAGAAATGAAAGAACAATAAAGATAGATAAATATCTAATTTTTTTTTAATTATAAGAGATAACAGAGTTATATCTTAAATATATCATATTAACTATATATAAAAGATTTAAAAAGAAGCTAAATGTACATGATAATTCATAATTTTTCGAATATATAAAAGATTTTGAAAAAAAAACTAATTAACAATGTATATAATAATTCATAGTTGTTCAAATCAAACAAAAAATTATAGATGTATAATCCAATACCCTCTTTAAAATGGTAGGAAAATGTTGCATATGGTCATTTCAAATATAATGATGAGCAAATAAGTCTTAGATAATATTTTAGTAAAAACATGATATTTTTTAACATGAACGGAGGTCAATTTTAAGATATTTTGTTTTCTTATGAAAAGTAGGATTGGAAGTAACGTGAATGACAACTTTACCATCCTACTTTACAAAGACAAATGGAGTGTTGATGTGTAAGTTAAGTAGAAGATTCTTCTATTAGGTTTTTCGAGGGGAGAATTACTCGAGAGAGACAATATAATGAGATATGAATCTAACTCATATAAGGGATTATTGGGTAATCAAGGTGTTAGATAATTTAAGTGTGAGTCTAAGTTCTACATTATGTAAAAATGAGGAAGTTGAACAACATATAAGGAAGAAAGATTCATAACCTAATTCCTTAAGATTTTAGGTTGAAGGTGATGTTAATTTCTTATGTCAGTTGAACTCATGTCTCATTATGTTATCTTTCCCAGGGGAATCCTTTTTTGAAAGACTCAATATCCTTATTAGAACCCTGTATTAATCCAGATAGAGCCCTGTATTTTTATAACCCTGTATTAATCCAGATAGAGCCCTGTATTTTGCTTTTGTAGATGATTTATTCATTGTTTTCTATCTTTTAAATTTCCAATAGATTAAGAACCTTCCACAGTCCACGATTTTCGCATTCATATATGGTTTATGTATGGATTGGAAACAAATTGAATAAGCTTATGCCAATTTTTGCTTTGAGTTTTAATTTGGATTCCATGGGGATAAATGAAGGTTTGCATCCCAACATTCCATAATCTTTCAAGATAGACATAGCATAGTGCTTTTGACACATAAATATTCTTTCTTTGGACTTGGATATTTATAATCCAAAAAAGAATTTGAGATCTCCAAGATATTTTAACCTAAAATATTTTCGTAAAAGAGATTTTGTTTGTGAAATGGTATTATTGCTTGGACTAGCAATGATAATGTCATCCACGTGTACCAAAACAATAAAGTTTGAATTTGTTCCTTTAGTGAATAAGGAATAATCAAACTTTGATTGTTTGAGATCATAAGATAGTAATGTACTAAATTTTGTAAACCAACTCCTTGATGCCTAATTAAGGCCATACATAAATTTATTTAGTTTACAAACAAGAGGAGTAGGAGTGGTACTATGTTTATATCATCGAGGAATTTGCATAAAAATTTTTCCCTCAAGGTTACTATTTAAAAATGTATCATTTACATCTAGCTGAGTTAGATACCAATGTTGAGAAGTAGATAAGGACAAGTAACTTGAGTGTGGTGATTTAGCTACAAGAGAAAAAGTTTCCTAAAGTCAAGGTCATATTGTTGAGTGAATCCCCTTACAACAAGTCTAGCTTTGTGTTTGACCACGGTCCCATCAAAGTTCAATTTAAGTTTGAAGAGCCACTTGTGTTTGGCCACTTACACATCAAAGTTCTATTTTTGAAGGAAGGGAACCACATCCCAAGTGTTATTGAATTCCATTGCAATCAATTCATCATAAATAACATTCTTTTAGGATGTGTGCTTTATGGCTTGAGCATAAGTTTGTGGTTCAAAATGTTCTGAAATTTGACAAATGTAGTGTCAATAAGAATTTGATAGGTTGAAGTAGTCAAGGTAATTTTGGATAGGATAAGAAGTGATAGAAGAATTTGGGACATTATAACAATGATAGTCACTTAAATATCTTAGAGGATTGGTATCCCTGTTGGATCTTCTAAGAGGAGGGTGATCCTCAATTTGAGGTTGTGTATCAGTTGTGGTGGTGATATGTGAAATTGTTGTATAAGGTGCAATAGGAATATGATCATCACTATCTTATGAGATATATGAACTGGTGATATTTGAAGTATAACAAAAGGATTTGTATTTTCAATATCATGAATGGTTTGATGTGTTTTTAAAGAGAAAATACATTCAAAATATTTTACATCTCTACAAATGAAGATTTGTTTGGTGGAAAGGTCTAAGAGTTTATAACTTTTGTATCTCTTGGGATAACCAAGAAAAATAGTAGCAATAGTCCTATTAGGAAATTTGTATATGATGGATAACAAAGTAGATTTATAACACAAGGAGCCAAAACCTCTGAAACCAACATAGTTAGATATCTTATCATACAAAATTTCAAAAGGAGAAGATTGTGAAACTAAACTTGGAGTTTTATTCAAGAAGAACACATAAGTTTTGACACACTTACCCCAAACTTTTAATGGAATATTAGATTGACATTAAAGCATGAGAACAATATTTATAAAGTGCAACCACACTATTTTGTTATGGTCTTTCTACACAAAAATATTGATGAATGATACCTTTCATAGAAAATAAATCATTAAAAAAAGCTCCTTGAGATTGTCATACCTGAATGTTTTAATAATCTTATTGAATTGAGTTTCAATGTATGATATAAATTATGGTATCATAACTGCACAATAAAAAAAATTTGAATAAGAAAATCCAAGTAAATTTGTTATTATCCTCAACCAGAGTTAAAAAATATTTGAAATCAACATATGTATACTCCTTAAAAGTCCCCAAATGTCAGCATGTAGTAAATAAAATAAGTTAGGACTAAAATGATTAGGTTGGGAAAGATAGTCGATTCTACTTAACTAGTTGATAAGTGTTACAATGAGAATGAGAATTAAAAGAAGATAGAACAATTTTATTAGCAATTAAATTGTACACATTAAGAGGAACATGGTCTAATCTTTGGTGCCAAATATCATATGAAACAAGTTTACATGAATTAAAAATAGAATTTGACTTAGGAAAAAAAAAACTCATTGTCTTGTTGAGCGGTATCAATCCTTTTCATTATTGTGAGATCCTAAAGCACAAAACAATTAGATTGCATATTAAATTGAAACT